ATAACTTTTGGTTTAACTTTCTGGTTAAAATTTGGACATGGTCACGATAAGTAAGATGTGAGTCAAGAGAGACTCCCAGATACTTATACGTGGATACAATTGAAAGTTTTTGATTAGAAAAGGTGATGAAATTTGATATAGACAGTTGTTTCCTAGATGAATAAAAACATACATTCTGTTTTCTTAGTATTAAGTGTTAAATGGTTATCCTGTAGCCAATCATGTAAATGCTATAGGTCTGAGTTAAGTTTGTAATTAATTGTATCAATATCTGAGCCAGACAAAAAAATGACAGTGTCATCAGCATATAACAAAGTACTAGAAACATCAAACACATTAGGAAGATCATTAATGTACATAAGGAAAAGTAAAGGACCTAAGATGCTGCCCTGTGGAACTCCCATAGAACACACTTGTGACTGTGATGTTACCGAGCCGATTCTTACAGTCTGAGATCGGTCACTTAAATATGATTTAAACATATCTATTGCAGAGAAGGACAAATGAAAAGAAAGAAGTTTATTTAACAAAATTTGATGGTTAACTTTTCGAAAGTCTATGTATATGACTCCAGTAACCTGACCTTTATTTAAAGACACCATCTGTGTCACTATAAGGCTAATGGCCAAGAGCTTCTATGAAATTGCCCTTGTTTGTTTTAGAACTAAGAAGTTGGTCGAGGTGGTGCTGGATTGGGTGTCGATGAGGGGCCCAGTTTGGAAAATGTTGTCCCCCTGTCCAAAATTCCTTACAGCGGGCCTGTCCCGGAGCAGGCGGATTTAGCCCCAGAGGAGCTTCATTCAAAATCATCTGAAGCTCCCGGACGCTTGCCTTTGATCGAGTACACCGCCTGGGAGAACCCAGGCCCATGGTCGCGAAGTTTGAACACTTCAAGCAGAAGGAACTGGTTAAAGGCCGCGGCAGGGAGCTGAGAGGAACCAACTGCAGCATGAACAACCGGTTTCCCCAGGAGATCCTGTTCCTGATAAGAAAGAAGCTTATTGCAGATGATGAATAAACTTTACGTTTGATGGCCAGCTGTACCGCGACAGAGACACCACTCCTTTTTTTCCACTAAGAACCAAATCCAGCAACGGGTGAACTTTATCACTATGCAATAATTTTTTCCCTCTTTCCTTCTCAGTTAATTTCTCCGTGACAGATGGCAGGTTAATAGGCCTAGTTATAAAATACAGTTCACGTCTCAACACTGTGGTTATCTTACTAGACTGTCTGATAATGTTTTGTGGGTTTTCCTCTGTTTTTGTTTCACTGTTTCTTTCTTTTGTTAATGGTGCTCTTTCTCCTCCGTTTACACGTTGATCAGCTGCGCTATTTTCATGCTGTTTAATTCGGGCACATCGCTAGCACACACACACACAGGTGCATACAACATGCATACATAGACACACACATACAGGCGCATACAACACACACACCACACACAAGGATACAACACACACTAGCCTACACTACATCCCTTAAGTATAATTTATACTTCTGCAACAAATTGATGGCGTAGCCTCTGCGTAGCCCCCTACCCTACACTGTCACCTACGCCATAGCCTGACGTGCACTTCTTCAAAAATGTAACCACACATCGAGGTAACGCAAACCGTAAGCACTGTGATTTGTCGGCTGCGTAGCCTCACAATACCTCAGAGCCGATAGAAAGTGTCCTGTGCTTTGAAGTAACTTTTACTAGCGGCCAAAACAGTGGCTGAACTCGTGGATCAATATATTTGACCATCACAACCTGAGCGAAATGACTCGTTTCACTATCAGAATGTGATCCATTCGGTCGATATCATTTGAAAAGGCTACACCAGCCACACGTATAGAATTCGTGAAAGAGACGGACAAGAAACGCACAAGTATAAATGCATGGCTACGTGCGTAGCCTACAGGGTAGCTTCGCACATAGATCCTAGGCAGGAGTATAAATCAAGCTTAGTTGAATGATGACCACACTTAAGCTCACCTCTTGGAATGTTCGCGGAGTTGGTTCAAGGGAAAAGAGATTAAATTGTTTTAATCTAAATAATGTGCAAGCAGACATTGTCCTACTACAGGAGACTCATTTATCCAAGACTGCAGATAAACTAACCTCACCACAGTTTCCTCACTCGTACTCTGCCTGTTTTAACTCAAAACAAAGAGGTGTCACCATTATGATAAACATCATCTGAACCTGTTTGGTCTGATGGCCTTCAGCACATAAGCCTTTATTGTTGTTTTGTATCCTTACTGTGAGTCGGTGGTTTTATGGTGTTAGTGGAATGCATGTCTTTAACTGCCGTGTTGTTGCTGTAGTATGAAAGAGGCTCAGGAGCGCGAACAGAGCTGAATCTTACCGGTGTCCCCACATTACAAGCAGAATAGTGTCTGATGCAACCAGGAGAGAAAACAGGCTTGTGCTTCGTTTCTAACTGAGTTTTGAGCCCATTGACAATAAGGCAATGGAAGCTGGATTAATTTCATTGAAAAACTTACATATAGTCCCATTAAGAATGAACTTTTGATCTCGATTCACTTGTCTGGTTTTGAGCTTTTTATTTACAGTCTATAGTTTTGAGGTGCATGTAAAAGAACATGTGTTATTGCACATATTTCATAAAAAGTATATGCAGTTATAATTAAATTATACATGTAAATGTGAGCCATTTTGATTATGAGGTTTTCTGATGCTGATCTTTGCCTGAGACTGAGGTAAAAGGTCATGACAGAGACTTTTCTTCTTAACGGTCCCAGGGTGGCTCCTTTGGATGACTTGGCAAATAAGACAAGAGAATGGCACATTAAGATATGAATGGATGGTGAGATGTTGTGATGGAGAAACTAATTTATTATTCAACAATATTTTTATCATTGACCTTGTTTTGTTTAATCAAGGTCAATGATATGTGTGTGTGTGTGTGTGTGTGTGTGTGTGTATGTGTGTGTGTGTGTGTGTGTGTGTGTGTGTGTCCTCAGTGAAGTGTATCAGTCTCTGCAGTAGCTTCCAGCTGCAGCAGTCTGTTCAGTTTCTGTTCAGTCTGACTGAGGGAGGTTTTTGTACGACGCTTTTTCACTGTGTGAACAACCACTGACTGTTGATGTAATGTGCACTCTGACAGTAGTAAACTGCTGCATCTTCAGTCTGGACTCCACTGATGGTCAGAGTGAAGTCAGAGTTTGATCCACTGCCGGTAAAACGATCTGGAATCCTTGATGCTCGAGTGCTAGCACGATAAATGAGGAGTTTAGGACTTTCTCCAGCTCTCTGTTGGTACCAGGCTAAAAGGTGGTATGGGCTGCTATAGTAAACATCCTGACTGGTCCTACATCTGATGGAGATGGAGCCTCCCAGAGCAGAGCTCACTGCTCCAGGCTGAGTCACTGTGACCTGGCCTCTGGACTCTGAGGATACAGAGACAAAAACATAAAGCAGCGTCATGGTTTTGTGGGCTTCATTTCAGAGGGACGGATGTTCATAGAGGAGAGGAGTTTGATTCTCTGGACTTTACCTGTGAAGCAGCAGCAGAGGAGAGTCC